CGTTGTCCCCTTAAATTATATTCCATTGGTTTTTAATTATAGTCTATTACACTATGTAACACAATTATTGTTCCGGGGTAGTATGTGTTCCTTCGTAATTGCTTATGCCTAAAAAGTATAGAAATTTACACCAAGGCGCACTACCACAGGCGGGACTGGCCACAGCGGACCAAGTTCTCTGTGGGGAGGAACAACGTCAAGTGGGAGCCACTGGTGGACCCCAGAGAGGTGCCGATGCCACCACTGCACATCAAATTGGGCCTTATGCAGCCTTCAAGTACTTTCAAGACTTCTTCCCCAAGCTGTCGGAGGCAAAGGTCAAAGCCGGTGTCTTCGTCGGACCACAGATAAAGAAGATCCTGGAGTGCAATGAATTCCCCAAGAAGCTGACTAGTAAGGAGAAAACGGGTTGTAACAGCTTTTATTTACCTACGTGACTTTACCGAAATAACTAAGAGTATGAATCCTTGCAGTCACGAAAGCTTCAAATCTAGAATTAGCTTTGTCGCAGCGGCTCGTGGCTTCCTGGGCAATCACAAGGTCGAAAACGATGTGGAGCTGGTTGATTCTGGTAAAGAACTACAGCACAATGAGCTGTAGGATGTCCCTCAAAGTCCATATCCTTGATGCTCATCTTGATAAATTCAAGGAGAACAATGGAGCGTCCTCGGAGGAGCAAGGCGAGCGCTTCCACCAGGATATACTGGACTTTGAACGCCGCTACCAAGGACAGTATAACGAGAACATGATGGGAGACTACATTTGGGGGCTGATTCGTTAAAGTGATCTACAGTATAATGGTAAATCTCGCAAAAACTATATACTCACTTCTAAATCTTTTCTAGTCATTTTTGTATTACTTTAGTATAAATACATGTGCATTTTGATTCATGCTTTTTTTTTCTGACTTCATGTAAACAAAAAGACATTTGCCAGTTCTCATTGAGACTAGGTAAATTTCAAAATATCACCGTCCTGGTCACAAAATCAAAGTTTGTGGGGAATAAGACATTTTATGCACTTTAGAGGTATAAGCAATTAGGAAATAACACTTACTACCTAGGAACAAAAAAATGTTATTCTTGGTTCTTTCCCTTTTACGTGACTTTATCGAAAGAACCAAGAATATGAATCCCTGCAGTCACGAAAGCTTCAAATAAAAACAATGTTAGTGTCATCACTCAAGGTTCATGGTGTGCAAGCAGGCGCAGGCGTCACCACTGGGTAGGCATCGCCACCTGGTGGCATGTAATTGTGATGCGCGCGTTACCAAGTGGCACCGACAACGCAGACTTTTCAGATCTATCAAACCCACAACGCAACCACCGTGTCACATCTGCAGCTCCATGGGGTCGTTCTTCTTGAAGGTCAAATGTTTAAATTAGACTTTATTATTCATACACATCATTAAAATATCTACCAAAGACCAAGACAAATTACATTTATGGATGTAAAATGTTTAACGTGTTTATGTTTTGACCTAAGGCTTTCATGATTGCAGTAATTCATATTCTTTGGGTCTTTCGGTAAAGTCACGTAGATAGGTTCAAAGAAAATAATGTGTCGATGGACAACCCTTTCAAATGTGTCAAGGGGTGTTCCAGCTGAAACATTGCACATTACGTTGTAATAAAACAAATCTCACCTGGTGATAAAAAGTCGACTGTACCACGCTCGATGGTTTTCCTTCGGGCTGTAAGCAAATCCGTGCTTGACAATAGTCAATGGCTGGATGGAAGACCAGCTAAGAAATGCGAGATGTTTGATGGTCTGCAATGCATTATACCCCAAGTGATTCGTGTATGAATTTGCGTTCCATGCACCACACCTAGGCACGATCTCAAACCAACTAGCATGTCCGCATTGCCGTACACACATCCCGGTGCCTTTGCGGAGATGAAGATTGCTCAGTACACTACCCGACACGAAATGGTGGCGTGCTAAGCTCAATTATCTCAACTCTAATACTGTAAACACATTATTACTTCGGTACTGACAACTAAACCGTGCTCCCTTCATGTCCTATATTGTGCATGCTAATGCGTTCCCGTCTCTGTTGGGAGTTCACGAGAGGAACATTTAGTCAGTCTGCTCAAGGTTTTATAGTAGTTACTATACTGCATTTTGTAATGTTTAAACAATACCACATTTTAGCCAATTTACCAATACAATTGACAATAGGAACAGATAGGGAATGAGACCTACACACAAAATCGTATTTTTTTACATCTCATTGGTCAGCCTTCGAGTGAGGTTTTCCTGAAGAATGCATTTCATCTTGATTCAAGGCTTTCGTGACTGCAGAATTCCATACTATTTGGTTCTTTCGGTAAAGTCACGTAGCTAGAAAATTAATAGATGACGTTTCGATCGCAACACAAGCAACCGTCATCAGGTGAAACAACAGAACTGATGTACGAGTTCTGCGGTTTGTTTCATCCGATGACGGCTGCTTGTGTAGCGATCGAAACGTCTTGATCTATTAATTTTCTATCTACGTGACTTTATCGAAAGAACAAAAGAGAATGCATTAAATACAATCGCGCTTGCTGAAAAACCAATGGCCTAGGGCACGCCCTCTAGTGGTGCTCATTTTCTCGTGTGGTCGTATTGTGGATTGATTGATCATATAAAACAGGTAGTCTTCAATACATCCAATAGGCTGCTTATTGCCACATTTACCGTGCAACGCCAATGCAGTGTCAAGCTTTTAATTCCATAAACCTATCTTTGCCCAACTTATTGCCAATGGGATCGCATGCAATATTCATAACGGATTTGCATACCATAAATAAATGAATGTGTACAATAGTTTCACCTTATAAAACCCATTGATGTAAAGTGGTTAGCCTTTATAATAAAATTAGTATTTAGAAATTTCCACAATGGAAATTTAATAATTTTACCGTAAACCTTGACTACAATATCTGATACTGTGCTTAAGGTAGCAACATGTAACGCGGAAGATCGCAATCTGCTGTGTGGATTACACTCAGATCAAGTCTTCAGTGATAAAAGTGCAAAAAAATAACGCACCTCAAAGAATGCCAAATGAACAATTTAAGAGAGCACTTAAGTTGATTGGCATAACTAAAGGTCGATTGTCCACCATTGTTTCCCACTCCCCTTACTAGATAAGTGGCAAACTGTAATAACAGCAGATTATGGGGTGCTCTTGAACATTTTTTACATTAAGATAGCGTTCAAAAAAGGGGGATGTTATCAAAATCAATCATGGGTTAAAAGCCACAACCGCCCCAACTTGCTTAAATTGGCTAAGAGGTTTGGTTTGCTAAGCACTGCTTTCAGCCAAACCCCAGCTGCCATTCATTCCTTATATTCCCTCAAAGATCACATAACAAAAACAGTAATTTAAGGCAACTGAAAAAAATATAAATACAAGTACATCCCTTTAATTGCAACTTGATTTTCCTACTTCCAAAATGTTCAAAAAAACATTTTTAATCAATATCAATAAGTCTTGCGGTGATGTCTGCAAAGTGCACGTACAAATTTCAATCAAAACATTAATGTTCCTTTTAGATTTAATCGAGATTTTTGCATCAAGAAATAAGCATTGGTTTGTAAAAATTGGATTAACCAAGGTTTAATCTAAACATTACCGAATTAACACTGGGTCAAATCCTGATTGTATTTTTTATAAATCACCAATTTATAATGGATGCAAAGAATCACAATTGTGAAAACGGTTTCTATTTGGCAAGAGAAAAACTACAGGAAATCACAATTTTAGTTGAGAAACTTGAATATAATTTAGCATAATTGATAGCCAGCCAGTTGATATGATTTACAATTATTTAACTTTTTTATTGAGGCTTATTGTACAGATCTTTAAGAGCATTTTGGGGGCAGGGTTTGTGGAACGTGACTGTATGAGACTTGCAAACCAAGCGAGCTGCGAGGGGACCTGATGTTAGAATAAAGGCGGACTTGTGAACCACACTAAGGATCTTTTGGGTTATTCTGAAGTATGGATTCTCTGGTTTTCTCCCACATGCCACTCATTAAATTGAACTTGTCAAACCTCAACTTTAATGCAGGACCCACCGAAAAGTTGCTGCTCCAGACTTATGCATAAACACATTTTAAATAAGTGGTTGGGTAATGGAGCATATTAGGCAATTTAAATGCAATTCCAATCGATCAGAATTATATTAAAAGACCAACAGGATCGGCTATTCGCAACTGGATCAACCATTCAAATTATCTAGCAGGGGTGACTGGTTTGAAAATGTAGACGACTGTCGAGGGCATTTGCCAAAATGTATTTTGTTGTATTATTTTCCTGGATGGGAATGTAACCATTGCAGAGACGACATCAACCAGTATTAACCAATTTAACACTTGTGCTTAAAACCATTCACATTTCACAAGACTGTTGCATTAAATTTAAAACACACACATGCTTACATAAATTATAGAATTAATGCTATACCTGAGACAAAGAAAAACTCAATACCTTTAAAGTTACTCTTTGGTTCTTTCAGTAAAGTCACGTAGGTAGAAAAATAAGTAAAAAATATATCACGACGTTTCGATCGCAACAAGCGTTCGTCCTCAGGCGGCAGAAAAAAATCCAGCAGTAGAACTGCTGAACCAGCGAGAGAGGTGTAACAACAAGGTTGTCAGGCTATGTCACCTTGTTGTAACAGCTTTCGCTGGTTCAGCAGTTCCACTGCTGGATTTGTTTTTTCCGCCTGAAGACGACCGCTTGTTGTGATTGAAACGTCGTGATATTATTTTTTATTTAATTATTTTCTACCTACGTGACTTTACCGAAAGAACCAAAAAGTATGGATTCCTGCAGTCACGAAATCTTCAAATCACCTTTAAAGTTGATCGTCTACCTTGGCGTAGCATAATTCTAAGGTAGTAAAAAAGGTAATCCAAAAGACCTAAACTATTTACAGATTAATAATTGTATAAATGAACAGTGGGCAAATGTAACATTTAATAAACTGTATTCAAAAATTATATAGTACACATATTCCATAGTTTTATTGCATTTTAAAATCAACATCCATGAGACAGATACAAGGAATAAAGCAGGCAAGTAACTGCAAATAAAGTGTAAACATACATTTGGTACGCAACAAAAATTACCCAACATAAAAACCCACAATAACACAAGTGCACTCGATCCTACGTGCACATGTGCAGAGACCCTGAACATATGGATCACACATTCCGAACAAAAATTATAAATCTTTAACACATGCACAAAAAGTGTATGGTTTTTCTGAAAACAAAAAGGTATAACCATGACACTAGTCTTCCCTCTTTCTGCATACCACAAAAAACATTTGTATGGAAATAAAAAGGTGAAATGATACCGCATTTCTGATGTTGAAAACGTTGCATTTTAAACAAGCCTCTGCTATTCAGCATGTTTCACATAGAAATACATTTACAAGTTCAGTAGTGCAGAATTAACTCTTTTATAAACCAAACATTTTACAGATTTGTTACAAATGTTTGTTTACAACTATTCTGCATTTGCACCATTCACAATATATTAATATGCATCCATACATAGATCATACACAATTGAATGGAAACAATTATCTTTCAAACAAATTATCCTAAAAATCCAAACATATGCAAATTAAAAGGCTTTTAAAGATATGTTTCAGAGCGAATTAAGCAAAAATAAAGCCTGCAAGAAAAAAAGCAGAACCAGACCCACTGTCATAATTAATGCCTCATGATGTTACAGGGCAAGGCAGCCAAAATGCAGTATTTATTGAAGCATACTAATATGGTCCATTAGCATGTGCTATTATATATGCCAGTCACTAAGAATTACACACTTTAGGCTGGTGTAAAGAATAGAGTGTTTCCATTGAATTAATGCTTTTCATTTGGTGGCAAAAAAATTTGCTAAGGCAGTCGGTCACTTTAGATTAAAATAAAGAGATAGCAAAACAAAGAGGTAGAGCTTTGATCGACTACCATAAACCACTAACTTGACATGATAATAAAATCCTACGTCATTGCTCTGTCAATCACTAGTTCCTTATCTACGTACATTAGCCGTGCCAAGCAGCTCCGATTCCAAATGTGCAGCACTTTCCCTCACACATCTCGGTGCCGTCGGCTTCGTGCAATCAAAATGGTTCCATCCTGCAGGATAGTTCTGAAAGCCTGGAATTCATCATCCTCGTCGTCATCACCATCATCATCAGAGCCTTGGCAGAGAAAAAGCAACCAGAGAATGCAATTAAACCTGTAAAAACTCAGTGACGTGACCTTTTGCTTACAGCCATGAAATTGGATGTGATGGAACATTTTAAGTGGCTCACAACAATCAAATTAAGGACACGTTTAACTAAAATGCACCAGGTTCCTATAATTAATGTAAAACCTGTTGCGATAATGCCTACACTGTATGGATGCCCACATTGTTTAATCATTTACTGTCTATTTCATCATATACATTGTTGACTTATAATCATATTCATAATTTAATATCTAGATAAAGCGTTAACTGTTATCACCTTAAGACTCAAAAATGCATTCAGTAATAAGAACTAAAGTAAATAAGAACTAAAGTACTAAAAGCAATATCCCATAACATTCCCACACCTCCGATTAGAAGTTGGCTACATATGGTGAAATTAGTTCAAATACACACTTTTCACACAACTGAAATTTTCGTCTCACTTACAGAAGTAATGAAATTGTGAAAAACACAACCGTTAAAGATATTTCCCACTTTCCTCTACATAATAGTTAATTGCAGGAACATAAACAAGACCATCATGAATGTTAATCTTACACACACTTATTTAGCAGTTGAGGTGTGTTCACCTTTAGACAAATAAACCTTATGGCAGGACCCCCGGGTCCCATAAGCCCCCGGCTCTCGTATAAACTGCGTTGTGACGTCATTTTATGTCTGTTGAAGGCGAACGATTCGGCAAGCTATTCCTCTCGACGAGCTCTACACGATGCGCTCAAAGTTTAAACGTTGTCTCTTCTGCGCATTCGTCCTCGCTGCGCTTGGACGACATAACAGAATGATCCGCGCCAGGTGGGTCGCAGCGTTTGTGCGCGGTGGGACGGAGTCGCCAAAAATAATTACGATTTTGACTTGTTTATTCGGGACCCCAGGGTCCCGCCATAAGGTTCAAATACACATTTTATCGTACATTATTCAGCGGGCAAAAGATGAGTAATGTACAAGTATGGATAATAATTGTTATGCAATTAAACTGACACTTCAATATGCTATGACTTTTATAGACATGACATGTCAATTACCAAAAAAAATTCAAAATGGCACAATTCCTGCTGGTAGCATGGTACCGATATCATGCCATTACTAGGACACTGTATATAGTAGTCCTATGGCTGGCTTTCTTCTGAGGCATGTCATTCTAAAATCAACATTGTCACATTTAGTGGAAATGTATAACCGATTTATGGGGATACAACTACACAAACAGTACACTTAAATCACTGAAGATGTTTTTAAAACAGAAATCGGTAAAGTGCAACAAGCAAATTAACCTAAAGATATTACTTTTTAAAATATCAATAACAAAAGGAAATGAAAACGATACAAATTAAAAGGATGCATGCATTCATCTCAAGGGATATAAATGGTTAAGCAATTGCAAATTAAAAAAACCGTGTTGTTTTGGGCGATTTAATAGCTTGAATACCTTTTAAAGCATGCTGTTCATTTCATAATTGTGTACGAGGGCACACTAACTTAAGACATTTTCCCCAGTATTCGGCAACAACTATTTTTTTCCACATTAACTTTTACTTTTGAAACTGAAAGGACAATGCTTTATTTTCAATCGCAGCACAGAAAATATTACACTGTTCATAGAAATACTAATGCTCTCTGAACAGGCCAATCGTCTAGGATTCGTGCATTAAATCCACGGGCTTCCAAGGTCAAAACACATTGACAATAATGCTGCTGGAAATAGGTACATGGCACCAGTGTCCTTGTTAAACTAGAAAAAATGAAAACAGCTTGCTGGTGTGCCTGCTGAATTCTAATCAAGCCATCTGTACTCAAAGGGAAATCACACAGCAGCTGTGAAAGGGTCAACCACCAAAACATGCTTTGTGCCTTTTACATTCCTTGGTATGGTGGAGGCAGGAATATAGTAAACCTACTTTCATGGTCATCCTGCTGAAGCCGTGGAAACAACCTTGTCAGATGGAATAACTGTAATATAAAAATGTACAGTAACCAAGTTCCTGATGAAAGCTAACAACAATATCAACATCTGCAAGTGTTCATCCTTACCTTTACCTTGTGACATTTTAAAAACTTACCTGGTGTGCACATTTTACAAAACACAATTACAGCAATGATAAGTACATTTTATATATTTATGTAGCTTCCAAGTGCATGTTGAAAAACTCGTTAGAAGAATGCTTTTTGCAGGGAATAAGCTTTTCAACTTTCCATTAATGTGCACAATATATGTAGGAAACAAACTAAATGAGAATTAGGGAAGACAATAAAAAATAACCGAGCATTGTTATAATTAATAATGTGGAACAGGTTAATGGAAACCAATTAACACTCTGCCCTTGCAATTAATGACACCGTATGTTTATTTGAAACAAATTAACACTCATTTGTCGTAGATTGTACCAAATGTTCAGTGCCTTACCCGGTTAGCGCGAGGGTTCCGCAAGATGTCATTGAATCTCTGTTCGCAAAGATGTAGCAACAGTACGAGGTATAACCCCGAGTGAACAAAGTCACTTTGGGCCTGTGAACAAAAAGCACTCTCTTCATCAGCTGTTATACACAAGGCTGCCATTTTTTTTCCCATGGAGAGAACTTAAAGGGGTAAGAAAATCAAGTCATCCTGAAACAATATTTTGTGTCATTGATAATGTATGCAATAGCTAAAACTTGAGAACTCGCCACCCCATCACCATCCTGATTCCAAATTCAGCGTTTGCACTGTAATATTCGTACCAAAATCTCAAGTTGTTCTTAAAATGGCCGTACTATACAAGAAATGCATTCAGGTGGTTAGCTTACGAAAGGTAATACAATACTGTTGAAATCGTGAGCTAGATTTCCACATCCAGAGGCAAAGCCAAACCTTTGTGAGCTTGCTGTTCTCAGCTTGACCCACAAAACCCCATCCAGAAATGTTGGTCATTTCTCATTCATGAGAATCCATTATTATAGTTTTGATAAGACTAAATACTGTATTGGGTAAAATTCAGTGATGCAATTTTTGGTAATTTCTCAGGATGACAGCAGTGTTATTGCATTGGTAATGAAAATTGTTAGCCGTTTGCCTCAATGCTTACATAAAAAAGTGCAAATAAACCAAGATATTGTATGCAAAAACACAGCTTTTTTTCAATATAAATGTATCATGGCGAGTTAAAACACCACATTTGTTATCACAGCACAAGAAAGGATAAAAAGGCTAAAAGCCAGTGCACACACAGGTACCCAGATGATGGAAATGTTCGTTTGGCATTACATGGTCTTTGCAAATAATACACTTGGAAATTGAACTGCTCGCATCTTATAGCGACAGTGATATGTTTACCAGAGAACAAAAGAGACGTGCTACTGTATGCGCAGTCATATAATCTTGCTGGCACAAACTGTACAGACCAGACAGATTTGGGATTGTCTGTTCACTGATGCACAACAGCGTTCATCCTTTTCAGCAGAATATATTGTCTATGAGGATGAAAAGCTCCACAGCTTGCCAAGTGGGGGGGGAAAAAGAAATCAGGGAGTGGTCCACAGCGCTAATAACATTTAATTTAGGATGTGTTGGATTGTTGTTCATGTCAGCTGTAACTTGGTAATCACCACGCTGTTATACAAAGATACACATTTGGTTAAAAAGCTAAGTGGGGGTTATAACACAATGAACATAATCATGGTTTGCATCAGTAACACTGCTAAAAGTCTCATATGTTTCACTTAGGATAATTAATATGCACACATTTACCTTCTTCCTAAAACATTGATTGCTTGATTACAGGCATTGACAATACAATGTAAATAAACAATGTAGCTTTGTAGATGGTCATATTTTTTTATAAATTAAATGTCTCTGGTTTGGCTTTTCCACTTCCCTCATGTATATACAATGCCCAAAGAGCTGACCTGATTGGCAGAGTGCTCTTGATAGAGCTGATGTATGTCGAACCCCTCCACCTCAAAACGTAGTAGTTGCTTGCACAGCTCACAGTGCAGCACTGCCGACAGCTCGGCACCTGTGTTCAGGCAGAACAATGTGCAGGTTGCCAATTTTCCTACAAATGCCTGCCCTCGTCACACAAAATTATAGTCATCACCTTTTTAAAAACAATTATTACTTAGGAAAACATTCTGAAAAACCATTTCCCCCCCAAAAAGTGCCTTATAGACATGCTATGTAAAAGTCAATGTGCTGAAAGATAAGTTTTGTGCCCATATGCACACGTCCAAAGTGGGGGCATCAGTGAATGGCACTTGGCTCTCACCAGACTTAATCTTGGCCTCAAGCCAGCGCCGCATGCAGTCCTGGTGGACATACTGCAGGCTGCCTGTACAGCTACAGGGGACAACGAGCAGGTTGCCTGGAGCCACGGCACTCATCTGGCAGATGCGGCAGATGTCTCCTTCTTCCTCATCAGAGTCCTCCATCAGCAGTCTGAACACACGTCGGGAGAAAATAACCGCTAAACAGGTTACACCAGAATAAAAAAGGCAAAACATTTACACCAGTAAAGCACAACACAAGATCAACACAAGAAGCTAGCAAAATTGTAAACGAGACTCCATAACTTTTTTTTACCTTTCTTGTATTTGCCGGAGCCTTTCAGGATCACGAGAGGGCAGAAGCTGGGCAGATGACATTTCATGTGTACCCAGTCGGGATGTGACTGGCTGAGAAGTACCCACTGTACGTCTGTGGCGAGCTGTAGCTGTTGAGGTGACATTGTCCTCAGCGACGGCTTCAAATCCAGCTCTCCGGTCAGACAAGGAGAAAAGCAGGGAGCTGGAGCCCGGGACGACTCCCAGAACGCGCACCTCGTCATCCCGACTCGTGCGAGATGCTGTCGAAACTGGGCTACTTTGGGATGGCCCCGAAGAGCTGCTGCCAGCACTACTAGTACCGATGCTCTCATTGCTCTGTAGTCTGCCTGATGCACTGGAACTCGAGTCAGATGCCCCATCTAGGATGTAGGTAAGATCCATTTCAAAGGAATCAGAAGTGTCATGTGGTGCTGAATATGCACGATATGGAAGTGTATTATTGAAAGAAAAGGTGTTAACATAGGGGGAATCGGCACGTTGTCTTTGAAGATCATCTGTATTTTCTTGCCATTGCCTTATTGGAGACTCAAAGCCCAGATTTGGGAAGTATGAATAAGTAGCTGGTCTTGAAGATTCTTCTCTAGGAACCCTTCTGCCCCTACTCATGCACCGTTGCACTGGACTTGCATCCCTCAAGTATGGAGACATATTTGATCGTAAATTCTCATTTTGTGCCACATTCCCATTTTGCACATTGCCTTCAGGCCAGGAACTTTGGATATTAATGCCTTCTGTTTCCGATGCAGGCATTTCAACTGTCGAGCGGGAATTAGTTCCTCTCCTTGCTCCAAATCTTGTGAAGCCAGTCTGTTGGACAGGGTCTGGCTGTCTGTCTGGTTGCCTATCAGCTCTCAAATTGTTAACAGTAGTCCTTAAAGAAGAAACATTTTGGTATGGATTTGACACATTTTCTCCTCTTCCTAATCCCACACCTCCAGAAGTCGTCAGCAATCTTCTCCTTAAATCACTCAATCTTAGAGAAACACCTGACCTTTCCATGTCATGCATAATATCTCGGGCTGCTGATAACCTTGTACTTGCCCAACGGCTAGGTAAATTTGAATCTGCGAAACCACTTAGTCCCTCTATTTCAGGAGCAGCATTTTGTGGTACCGACCTACTACTAGTTGTTCTTCTGCGCAGCCCACTCTCATTCCAATTCTCTCGAGATAAATCAATCCCTTCTTCTGTATGGGGCTCCCTGCTAAAGTAAGAAAATGCGGGTTCGTCTCCAGAAGGGTTGCGACGTGATGATGCCGATGCCCCTGCATTTATGTCCTGTGCATGCCCAACCTCAGAAGACTGCCTGCTGCTTGCAGCCGATACAGACATATGAGGGAGCAAGCATTCCGATCCTTGATGGGAGCTTGAAGGTATAGAGTATGGCACCCATGAACGGCGTACTGATGAAAGCTCCTCAGGGTCATTTCCTGTGCGTGCCGTGCGGGTTTCATTGGTACCTCGATTCATACTGGTTTGCCTCCGTGACAGAAATGCATACGATCGTTCTCTGTAGCCTCTGGGTAATGGGCTTGACATATAATCAGGTTCTATGTAGTTGGGTTCTCTTACTTCAGTAGCATGTCTGTTATATACATGCCTGGGGCGTGCTCCCTGAGCCAGGTGAGCAGATAATCTGTCTTGCTCCGTATCTAGAAAGGAAAAAGATTGGTCAAAAATGTACCCCGTTTGCTAACCACCTGCAAAACATCAAATGGTACATTTACATGTGATGTTATTGAATGGAGGAGTGATGCAGTTGGGTAGCGCACCGTGCTATGATCCCAGCGGCGAGAGTTGAATTACCAGCCACGGATGCCGACATGCGACTAGGAATAGCTTATCCAACTTGTATTGACCAGTATCATGAAATAGTCCAACAACAAATGTCATGAATTACATGGTGGGAGAGGCCCTTATCCGGCACTAAATTGATGGACTAAAAATTTCAATTATGTCCCAAATATGATATTGAACTACATGAAGTGATCACGTCACCTAAAACAGTTTAAAAAGTCAAAGAGAAACCACCTCTACTACTTTTTTACAATTTGTGCTTCAAAATATTTAGTACCGAGCGTGGTGTTGTATGGAGGGGGATGTAGATGGGATTGAGGGAGTTGTGATATGAAATGGACCCCTGGGCAGAAAATCTGAATATGCATTAATTTCCAACATTGCTCAATCAAATAACCACTGAACATTGTACACACCTAGAATGCATATTTATAAACAACATATTTGGAATAAGGGTGGAACCATATGTTTTAAGGAATGGTTGTTCCAATACATTTAATTCAAAAGGTGAAGTTTTTTTTCAGACAAAATCTGTTTATGAACGATGGAAGTGATACTTCAGGGAAAAACAAGTCACAAAATGTGAAAACACAAGGTCTATTAAAATTAGACAAGGATGAAAATACAGGTGGCTGCTTGCAAGAAAATTATTTGGCAAAAAACATGCTCACCAAAATCAAACGTCCGTGGCCTGTGGTTCAAAGGATAGATCCTGCTTGATGTCAAGTTCTCTCTGTTCCTTCCATGTCCTGGCAATGTTGCATCTCCAATCCCAGAGGCATCGGTAGGCAAGCTATTGTCAGAAGGCACTGGTCTTCTTTGTAAGGTTGGGCCTTCAAAAACAAATGTTATGAAAATTATATTTCCAGTCGAACATTTCTCCCTGTGGCTTCTAAGAAAAAAAAAAACTCTGGATAGAGTGTACTAACACTTTACAAAATATCCATTCAATTCATATTCTTAACTACCTCCAGATTTACTATATATTGTCAGAAGGTATATTAAGCTTAATTCTGTCAAAAGGTGTTCAAGTAGACTTTCTTGTTACAATGCAACAACTCGACTGGGTGCAACCAACCACTGTTGGCTGGCAGAGGGGCTGCGGAGTTGGAAGACAGGAGTTTCGGCCGCTTCGAGAGCTCCTCGTGTGGAGAGAGTTGACGCGCTGTGGCACCAGCAGGACCATTATCCCGGCTCGATCTAGCCGAGCTGCCACGGCTGTCCATGCGTGCCGTGTCCCGAGAGCCAGCCGAGTCACGTGGAGACAGCTGTCATGGAGCACAATGAAGAATTTACTTGGGCATGAGTGAAGGTGGCAACATATGAATGCCTTTATTTTATGGAATATGGTAGAGAAACATTGTGCATCAAGGCTATGGAAAAAAAAGTCTAAATATATTACACAACTCCATTTGTTGGAACAAAAACTAACACTTTCTATAATAAACAATATAAAAAAATGTTGACTAGAACTCCAATACATAGTATACAAATCAATAACCACACAACCTTTTTGAAAGCTTCATCAATATTCCATACAGATTAAGCTGCACCAGTGCTGACATTATGAAATCTGACAGTAATCCAGTTACTAAGCTTTAAATCATATTACTCTGCAAAGAATCTCGTTGCCCAAGTGAGAAGTAAAATTTTCCCTTACGACAGTCGTATAAATATCCCGTTTTGTAATGTTCATAGGTTTAAAAAAATCAACATCGGGTCTGTTAGATAAAGTGTTAGTTTAACAAAGCAGTAACGTTAGACATACATGAACCTACTACGTTAACAATTTTAACGTAGTGACAAGCATTTATTTACAATTGTAATTTGGGGAACATTTCTATGCAAATTACATATTAAAGTGTTATTTTCTAACGATAGCTGTGATGCGAAAACCGAAAAGATACATTGTTTTTAAAATGTTCGTAAAAATGTAGTAGTGGAAATTCATAAAATCTTGCTTGTTGTACCCAAATAGGTTGACGTTTACATTATATTGCACTGCAATATACATTATGTAGACATGCATTATGTATATTGCAGTGCATTACATTAATTTCTGTGTGATAACTCATTTCATGCATGCAAGTTTAAGAGATTTCCACTACTTATGACCGACTAAGAAAATACCTTCACACACCGACCACCACGGTCAAGTGTGGTCAACCCCCACCACCCCCCCGTGAACCCACACAGCATAGGGAGGCCCTCATCCAGGAGTGGAATGACAAAAGGCCGTTAACGCACATGATAAACAGACAATTGATCGTGTTTTGGGTCCATGTCAATTAAACAAATATTTCTCTCAGAATGAACATAAAAGACCAGTTTATATTCACTTTAACAAATAAACGTGCTCACTAATGACCTTTGTACAGACCTACCGCTCTGCTGCTTGAACAGCCCATGCCAACAAGCCTCTGACTGACAGAATTTGTGTAAGATGGCCTTTGGCTCTGCACGTCCCTTCCAGTGCTCCGCAACTCCCAGTTTCTGTTAACAGGCTCTTCCCTTTTGTTCACCCAGACCTGTACAAAATGAAAATAATAAGATTTACAATACGTTAGAGTGTTCGGCTTTAATACCGTAGGACACTCATTTTACAAGGCGACAGTTTTGTTCACCACTACAAGTTGCACCATGGTGAATCCAGTTTACTTTCTGTACATGCACAACACAATACAGAAAATGTAGGGTTTCCAGCCCTGGATTGCGCACCAACATTTCATCAGCTGGTCACATAGCTTCCTGAAATTACATAATGTGGCTATGTCCGAGATTAAGTGCAATTAACCAACTCTAACGCAGTTTGGATAATTACGCAATAAAAACACCATTTTAGCAATGTTTAATATATAGTATATAAATGTTACTAAGCAGTAGAAATACAAAAAATATTATCGCCAGGCCGAAGATGTAAGCCACAATGCCCAAGGAGAACGTAACATAATTTAGATAAGCATCAAGAAAAAATCTATTATAATCGAACATTATCTAATCAAGTCCATTAAATGGCTTGTTAGGTTGAGCAAATGTATACAAGAATAAAAACATATACACAAAATCCTCCATATTTAGTCCTATCAGGTACAGTAATATATATTGCATTTCATTACAATACAGATGTGCATACACGTGCATTAAAATTAAAACCAGGTATTTCAGGATGCCTTGTATCCAATACGTACAGCAACGAGCAATTAACACCATTCAAAGCTAATTGTGTTTGGAAGTAAACAAATATCTATTGCTTGAATAAAGGTTAATTTAAATTGCTAGAAATTTATGCTGCACTTCAACAAAAATAAAGACTAAAACTGGAAAGTGTACAATGAAACATGGGAGATACATGCTTGGAATAACATTGAAACACAAGAGGAATATAGTACATGTATTGGAGAACACAGGCAGGTTAATGACACCATCCTAACTATTAAATGATTGGGTAGGACATATCTAGAAGGGATGAATAAAGAATAAGCAACAGAAAGGAATACTTAGGAGAGGATGTTCACCGGGGAGATGGAGCAATGAAGCCAGTTCATGTGCTAAATGGATTGTTGCATGATCGTGAAGTGGAAACAGCACGGATAGGCCTTCATCCAGCAGCTGATTGATCATGACCGATGAACTTTCCTTACTAAACGACCTGAAACTCCTCAAATTATGTTGTGTATGACAAGTGGTTATCAGTTAACTTGTCATTTACAAAATTACATATTTCCATACACAACCATTGGTAATAAACTACAAGAGAATATATTTTTATAACAAAGGGAAAGATAAATACTGTACAGTACTATGTGCAAAACTAAAATCATGTACAAATATTCTTAAGGAATTCTTGGAGGAACACAACTGGAAAAAAATACATCGATCGCAATTAGTGAAGGTGGATTGGATCACAATGATGGGGAGGTAAAGTGAGAGCAGGATAGTCATTTTGGGGATAAATAATTCATTTATAAAAGCACACTAAAATACCCAAAGAAAGATTTAAATCGGTACGTTACCTCATTTACATGAAATGGACTGGTTAAACAAACAATTAAAAATACAAATATAGATATGTATTTGGGGGAAAACAGAAAGGAGGAACAAGTGGATTATACAATATACATAAGGTTAAAAACAAGTCTGACTTAAGTTGGCTTGGGAAGGACATACTGTATTGTTCGAAAGGATTCGAGATCGATGAGACTGCCGAGTGGCAGTCAAAGGAAAAAACACTCGACAAGGCGAACCACTGCAGAGATGGAGCTATAAGATCAGCTCATGTGCGTCAGCAAGATGTATTGAGGCATTAGGGAATGGCGACATTGTAAGCCTTTCATCAGGTAGTAAACATAATATTACTACTACATAACAATGAGGAAAATGTTGCAGGCAGATACTGCCTATAAAATGCACATTTTCTTTCCTGTACAGTAGTTTATTTGGGTCAGATCACACCTGGCCATAAGCACAGCTGTGCGTATAATTAAAGGGCCACCAAAACAGGCACATCATTAATTACAGAAGTTAACGATTGCTTATAATTTCCCCCGAGAAAACAAATTTGAACTCAAGAATCAAAATACAGATGTATGCAAATGATAAACCTAATATTCTAGTAAATGTAATCTACAATAATATGCATAAGCTACATTGCATACAGGGTGGTGCAGCTGTCTTGTGACCCCCATTTAAGCCTTTAAACGTGATATATTTTAAGGTTTATTTCAAACAGAAATGAATATGCCAACAAAAAGCATGTTCGGGGTCAATTCATTGAGGGGGGGTCACAAGACATCTAGACCAGTCTGTAGTTTGTTTCCCTACACACACGTTGGCTGGCCGAGTTATATTTAATTTATAACAAATACTGATTAATATACTTAATGGGTATTTTTCAATTGATAATACAATAATAAAAACCCCATGATACAAAAATCAGAAACCAAGACTAAGGGCCACACGAACGCACCACATGGGATAGTGAAAACAAGCTTCCATTTTAATGTGCGGTGAGCCTTTAACACAACAGCATCTCCCGCTTTTGCCAACTCCAATTGGAGTTGTTTAGTGATGCTGCTTTAGCAGTGGTGCACAAGCACAATTAACAAAAACTCACCTTCGTCAATAATGCCTTCTAAACAAAATATATACAACAGGCGAAGTTTTAGGCAATGGCCATTCTTCACAGCAAATGCAAGAGCTGGTTTCTCTGGTCTCGATTGAGATGTTAGAATTGCACATTATTTCACATGCCACAGATGTTACAGGAATCAAATTTAGATCACTGGGACCACGCATTGCAGTGCCCTCCCAAATAAACAATGTTCATATCCAGCCCTTTGTCAATCCAATATTAAAGGAGGATTATTCCACGCCAAACGAGTTGTGGGGGTGATTTATCCACACTTCATTACGCTGGGCAATGTAGGTTGGTGAAAGTGGGTTGCATACATGTACAGTACAATTGGTTGTTCTACACTGCCTTTTCCTGTCCACCGCATAGCACCACAGCCTACATCACCTGTTTTGCATGGTAGTCGCCCATCCAAGTACTATCCAGGCTCAACCCTGCTTAGTTTCCAAGATTTGATGATATCAGGCCCATTCCAGGTGATTTGGTCATAGGGAAATAAACATTGCGGGAAACTTTTAAATGGCACAGATGTTACATTACTTCTATAGCAAAATATATTTAAAGTTATTTTAACAAATTGGTTTAAGATTGCATTTGAATACTAAATTGCACATTGTAATTTAATTATCGTAACAGGAACAAAATTCACTAAACTAGTAAGATAAACAAAATGCTTTTATTTTACATGTCAAAACAGTGAATTAGATTGTACCGTTATGAAATCAACTATATTAATGCACCCACAATGACCCATGTTGTTGGGTCAATCACAAAGTAACCCGAAGTAATGACAGGAACATTACATTCACAGTAGTTAAATAGCATTTATCATAATAATTACATTGACTTCCTGAATTTATATTAATTTTAAAATCGGGGAAAATAATATAACTATTGACCTTGGTAAATGTCAGCCACAACAAAAATGGACTTAATGGAAAATTTAAAATTGTAATGTAACCAAATTAAACCACGATTTTAAATGGAACGCTTAAATTAACTTTAAAAACGTCAACAAAACACATTATGAAGAACGCACATCATTTCCACCACGTTCAAATGTACAGAAGGGTGTGATAAATAAAGTCACAGAACCACATGGTGGTTACGCATTTAAAAGCACATTAAGTTAGGTTGACGTACTTCCTTCAGGTAAAGGATAGGTACAACACTGTTACCTTGTTGGATTCAAATGTCCTGCGCATCCCTGTCTTATGGCATTGCTAAGGCGCAAATATCTTCAGGGCCTTCTATCTCGATATCTTGAGTAACTGTTTTGCAAACACAGCACACATTGGATACGCGTATTTAACGGAAATTATACTTTACATCATAACAATTATCTGCTGCGCATCAACAGCCAATATGAACGTATGATACAAGTACAGTACTCCGTGCCTCTAACATATACGTTGCGATTGGCAAAAAAACTGTCGGTCACATTCTTATTATGTTAGCTTAAGTATTAAAAAGTAAAAAGGGTGATACAGTATATTGTCCTGGTTAAACAAAACAATCAGAAACCCCGAGCACTAAACACAGCACTAAACTTTTAACAATTCGGTATGAACAGCAATGAGGATGGCCGATAAGATGGTAAAGATGTAGCAGTACTCAAACATAGAAGTCAACGTCCATAACCCAGGTTTCTTTGTTAGATCAAGTAAATATAGGTGTTTGTTCAACCCGCCACAATCGAACGCAGGTTAAACGACACACATTTATACATTACGCGACCTAAACCCCCAAAAAACCCTGTATTTATGGATATTGGTTGCGAATGCCTACGTGTTAAGTCTACGATTACACGGACAATGTCTTGCGGCAAACATTCAACTGTACATTTGGGGACAAGAAATAAAGGGATGAGTCAAAGTGCGGATTTTGTTTGACTAAGTGTACAAAAACACTACAAGAGACACGCGTATGCCCATATAAACAAGAGGGGGGGGGGGGGTAAGATACACGATGAACTCTGCCACATAGACAAGAGTGGAGGGCATTTAAAAAGCCAAAAATTGGGGGCCCAGCGAGACATCAACCACACGCTCAAGATGATACACTCCTCAAAAACCAAAACCACCAAAAACACCAAGCCGCATTTCGACATTAACAATAACATCACCACGACCACTAACAATCAGCCGAAACCACCGTGAACAACAACAACAACACGACCAAGAAGAAGCGAAAGCCGTGCCAATTTTAAAGGGCGGAAAAAAATGTCGAGAGCAAAGCCACCGTGGCGAAGCCAGGAAGGACCCGGGCAAGGCAACTCGTTCAGCCACACAGCTCTTCTTTACACACTGCCCTCCACCGTGCCGACTAATTATAACAGATGCGACTCGGAGTTTTAAAAAAAAAAACCTCGCCGCCGCCGCCGCCGCGTAAATCCCTCACACGCACAGACGACGGCAGCCTCGCCCGTGATGGCGGCTCCCTCTTCAGCCCCGCCCCTCCTCCACCCGTCCCCCTCTTCAGCCCCGCCCCTCAACGTCACCCCCCCCCCCGCCGCCCCTCAACGTCACCCCCCCCGCACCTCATCCCCACACCACGTGACGGTGCGGAGCGACGTCACTGCCGTCCTCACCCCCCCCGCCCTCCCGCGTAGCCCAGGGCAACGGCCAACGCGTCACGTGATGCTAAGACCACGTGACGCAGCAGAGTGTACACGCCCACAGCCGACTTGTTATTGTTAACATTATTACCATCACGTTACCCTCTGTATTATGACAAACGCCCACCGATCACCCGTAACCCCCACCACATCCTAAAACACTTGTATACGCTCCCGTCCGTGGCTGCTTTTTGCCTCTCCGCGAAGGCCCGACGAATGGAGGCGGCTGAACGCGCGCCTCGCTTGCACCGTCGCGAGTGCTCGCGCGCCTCCATGCCTGCTCTTCGCGGGCAGCGTTGTCGCAGAAGCACGAAGACGGCATATTCTTTAATAAAAGGGCGCAGAGAGCGCAGCTTCCTCCTTCCTGGCTAAACTATCCGCGATGTTAACTTTAAAATACGCAGGGAGGGCTACGTTTGCTCGAAATTAAAACGCGAACAATCGACGCACGGCGTCGTTAAACAACAAACTACGCGTCACTATTTACAAGCGAATTGGTCGAGGAAGGATGCAAAACGGCAGTCGTCCACCCACCATAGAGACGGAGCCTTTCCCTACCCAAGATGGCCCCTCAATTTAAGATGTGGGGACGCGTGACGTCACCACCAATCGTCACCCGCCTGCCCCTACGCCTCACGACTATTGGCTGCAGCGCGAGCACGTGATCACTGTCGCGAGGATCCCCCTTGCCCACGCGCCGCTATTGGCCACGCGAGTGGCCAATGGGAGTCGCCGCAACGCGACCTGCTCAGGCAATGTGGACAATGGGTTGGTCGGGTGGGGGGGGGCGATGGGGTCGGTGGGGGGGAGCGGCGGGGGGGGGTTAGAGACGGAGTTAGAGGCGGAGCTAAGATCAGGTTGGGGGCGTGGCCTAAAGAGGGACGAGGTGGGAGGGGCTATCATGGGGGGGGGGGGGTGGGGCTGAATGGGGATGAGGTCGCGGTGGAGGGTTTGGCGAGGGTGGTGGGGGGGGATCTCTCATTCACTTGATGCAGCTGTCGTGGCTGTGACCGTTCCACCTGAAGACGGAAGCTTGTGTTGCCTCCGAAACGTCGTGATTTTTTATTTTATTTTTTATTTCACTTTAATTAATTTTAATTTTTTTACCTACATGACTTTATCGAAAAAACCTAAGAATATGAATACTTGCAGTCACGAAAGCTTCGAATCTAGAATTGAGGCTTTGAGGGTTGAGAGGGGGGGGGATCCCGTGGGGGCGGGGTCTGGGAGGCTGTGGGCGTGGCTATTGGCGGGGGGGGCGGGGCTCGTGGATGTAGCTGCAGGGAGATTCATCACAGCGGGAGGGAATTAATCGTGCTGCGCGTAATGCAGTGAAGTGCTCCGCGTCGCAATCCGGGGATTTCGCTGGCGTCTTCACGCCATGCTGCCTCCTAATGCGGACCGAAGGGAGGAGGAGACTGACGGCTACGACGACAAAATGGCTCCTGTGCCGGGCAGACGCGTGACCCTAACCTGGCTCCGCATCCACATGGCCGTTTCGTGGAATTTCTGCGTGTGGTTCTCTCCGGTTCCACACCCCCAATGCCAACTCCATCACCACCGGCGTTGACCCCCCCCCCCTCTCTCCACTCCTTCCAGCCAACACCAACTCACACCGGACCAGGGCACGTGTGTTGGGTCACAGCTGTCAGTGCGCCTGACAGCCACTTGACAACAGGTCCACCCTGTATACACAACAATGGCCATATAGCACCCAACACTGTCCACGCGTGCCCCTTCGGACCCTACATCAATGGGCTCACACCACCACTCCTATGGTCCCCCCACACCCCCTGTAAGAGTCCAGTGCGTAGTAACATTACCCCCACAGCACCCCAATTGTCCCCTAACGTGGGATAAATAAATTCCCTAAAGAGAATGGAAAACAATATTTGGTGTGACAGGTTTATTCCTTTGTAATTGTCCCAACAACATACTTGTTGAACAATAGACTTATTTTAAAATATTTCCATTCACGCCCATCGGCGAGTCAGTTACATCACGTTGAAGCAAGCATGCGAAAATATATTGCAAAGATGTTTCTTGCAAAGAGGTCAAAACCGATAGCTAATTACACATTTCCAAGCGTAAGAAGAGGGCTAAAAACGTGCTTTGGGGGCCCATTTTTATATGATAACAACACGCAATGTTGTACACATGCAGCAATTAACATGCATTGCAGTGTCAGATTTCTGGGGTAGTTAATGTGCCAGAGAGTAGTGAACAGAACGTTCTGCCCTGTCCACTCCCCACCACCAATAGCCATGGCACTTTTACATCCGCGCGTGTAAATCGTGCCAAAAATGATTTACCCACGTTTGTTCTGCATGTCATTGCAGTGGGAGAATTAAAATAACGCATTCCACTGCCGGCCAAATAAACGCGAAGAATACAGGAACATTTGCTATTTATGATCTACGTTAGTGTAACTATCAACAACGCTACTTTAGCCGCTGTATTTTTAAATCTGTGTAATAATATCTCAGCTCTATACTTAGTCGCATTTTGCTGTGCGCAATTTTTTTGTTACCAAAAAAAATATTTCAAGGCTACTTACTACCCTTGTGAAATATCGCGTGTTTTCAAGTAGAATAAAATAACTGAAATACAAATGGCAATGCCATAAAAAAACACAATGACCATGTCAACTGAAAATCCAAACATTTGACATCAAAAACTTATTTGATAAAATATAATGGAGCGCTGTGAGCACTCGGCGGTGTTTGAATCGTACAAAGTGAGCTGTATGGAACAATACAACCGGAGAAAAAAACATCACCATACCATCATCACTGGCCGTGACAAGAAACCCCTTCCATCGTGTTATTCCGACCCGACGTTTAACCCTCACCCTGACCAGGGCTCAACACAGGGCTCAACCCAAGCACCCCCAATCACCACCACCACCACCACCTCCAACCACCACCATAACAATCACCCTCCAAACGCAGCAAAAATTAGCCTTCGTTTGTTTGAAGGTGTTAGTTACACGCCACGAGACAGCATGATTATACAGTGAGATTCTCAGGTCAGGATGAAGGTCAACAAGCGTTTACATTAAATAAATAAGCCGAGTAAACACTGCGTGTGGCTAGCGACTTGACGATGGTCGATTGTTGTGCCAGCCCTCATCCGCCCTGCTCAACATGAGTATTAATAAAGGCTCACTGCCCCGACGTGTGTTTTTTATGTTGTTGTTGTTGTACAGTATTGTAATGATTTGCTTCTTCCCACCACACCCCTTGGGCTTCTATAGCCATCAACACGCCTGCGACATCGCTCCTTCAGTGACGGATCCAGGGGGTGGAGGGGAGGATTTGCTCCTCTTCCCTCCCTCTAACCCACATTTTGAGACCCGAAAATTAGTATTTTAGATTTAGCAGAGGAAATATGTTATGTTTAATGTTTTTCTTAACGTGGGGAAATCTCGGAACTGCCCGATCCCTTTGGGAAGTATCTATATTCGCTTATCTCACCCCGTCATCAACTACATCAGCGTGTCATCACTGTTCTAAGTGTAGTTGTTTCATGTGTGAGCTCCACATGCTTGAATACTTACACAACATGCGTGTATACATGAACGTATACGTGCATGTGCACTGTTCATGCCTTTCAATGCTTACAAATGTGTCTATACCTGTTCGCGTTGTGCTTTTTCATCTATAATTATTAGCTGTCATGTTCACATCGCTGAAGGCCTCTGAAAGTCATCGCCACCTCCAACATGTTCTCTCCGTGGTGGATGTACTCTTGGTCGTGTTCTCTCCTTTGGCTGCCATCCCGTGGTTAGTCCTGACCACAGGCCATCATCTTTGTTTGCAACGTATCTCGCCATGGCCCACTTAACAGTCAATATCTCGTATTTAACTAATTAATCAATGGGTTTGATTTTCTGTTTCAGTGTAATTCCAAGCATGCACCTCTCCATACGTGTGTTTGGTATTCTTAAAAAATATACATATTTTGTCTTGGTTTGATGACTACTTTCAATTTACACTGAGTGGATGGATTTACAAAGCCTACAAAGGTTATGTTAAATGATAGAAAATTATTTCCAGATCTCTAAGGCAAAAATAATATTCCATAAATGATTCATTCCTCAGATCAAGTGGAGATATTACAGATGTCACACTTGAACAAGTAAATTCTGCTCTTCACATTCTGAAAAAAGGCAAAGCCCCTGGACCAGATTATAAAACTGTGGACGTCATCAAAGAAGCAGGGACAGATGTTGAAATACAATTATTAGATCTATTCACGAAATGTTTGCAAAGAAATCAAATGCCTCATTGTGTTCATGTGTAAAGGCACATTGTTTGTTAAGTGCTGTGTGCTTTTGCGATCATTAGATCAGCATAGTATAGAGGTTGATCAACTGTGTCAGGCAATATGTCTGCCCTTTCTTCACTCAGAAGGACCATTGCTTGAAACGTTTGCCTATTGTTTAAGGCAGTACGTTATACGGCAAATACATCTTAATTACAAATGTGATGGGCCTGGAGTTATTTGTGGCAACGCAGTCTGATTTTTG